CCCCCCCCCCCCCCCCCCTCTTTTTCCAACATAGTGGAAACCTGTTAATCAGGAGACTCCAATTTATCAGCACTCAGATTTAGGGCAGCCTTTTAAAAATGGAATACTTGCCTAGCAAGAAATGCAGCAAAATGCCTTTCAAGGACTCCATGCAGTGGACAAATGGCATACATAACTTACATAAACGGCACACCTGATAATGCCTGCAAAGCTTTTCATGATAGTTAAGTGGGAACTGGGTTTTGCTGGCATAAATTTCCAGCTGAACAGCTTAGTGCCCTTCAGAATACTCCGTTTTGCTGTGTTGTTCTCATTGACAGGCTCCACTTCCATGAGTTTGAAACAGGGACTGCTGGGTGATGCTCCACAATCTACTGTCTGTAGGTTGTTACAACAGTCTCCCTTGATCATAAAACTTAAAATTACGTGTTTCTAAGCATAACATCACCAAGTTATTTTGGTTCTGTTAGTGGTCTTGAGGAATGCGTTCTCTTAAGGACTCTAGAGAAAATAAATATACTTCTGTACTGCATAATAATGAGGTCATAATTTAGTTGATAAATTTTTTTAAAGGTCCGATTCAGTCAAGAGAATTTTGCTGGAATTCAACAGTTTTGTGAGATCGTTTGTTTTCACTTTTCTTCTTAAGAATACTCAACCAATTTACAACTCATTCTCACCCAGATTTCAAGCAGTGTAATGCTAATTGTGTCTTTCCTTGTCCACATCCTGATCTCACATTTTCATAACTCCCACTCTGATTTCTGAATCCAGGTACATACCATACCTTTAAAAAGGCTGCCTAGCCAAAACACATGCCTGAAAACCACAGTGACACAATCAAGTCATTATCCAAGAAAACATCACATCAGTATAAAAGGTGACCATTAACCAACAATGAAGAAAACCAGACAAAGTCTGTCTCAAAGCTTCTATCTAAAGACATTAATGTTAGCTCCTAAACTGCATCCCCAAGCCTATACAGCACAGGCAAACATAACCCTGTCACGATAGTCATGCCAAGTCTTATCTCCAACAGGACTATAACTGGAGACACTGTGAGTTGCTTTTTTGCCTTTCCTCATCTCAGATGATCATTTGAAAGAACAATGTAGGAACTTAGTGTATAGTACATTGTTTATGTACATGTCATCTTACATCTGAGACACTATTCTTAAATGTCTACAGCTACGCTGGAGGAGTTTAATAAAAGGGGTTTAAAGAAGATACAAAAAAAAATAAGGCAGTAACTGAAAGATATGAAAGAAAACAAAGCAGCTAAACAGTTCTTTGGTATGGCATTATTTATTGATTTTAGCTGAAAGAAAGTATTTCCAACTCAAATCAATAATTTATAGCAACACACCAACGAAGTAGGGAAGATTTTTCCTCCACAGTATCAGGAGGGCTGTTCTTCTGAATAAAAATGTGTGGTTCTGTCTATCAATAAAAACATGTGCCCCAGTGAGGATCCAGAAAGGGAAACAGATGCTCACACTTTGCATCAGTGCCAGTGAATCAGCACTGAGCCCCAGCTCATTATTTTGAATTAAATTCTGGGGGGAAAATATACCATGTGCACACACAAGCTTTACTAATTTACTGTGGCACTCGCTCTGGGTCTGGCTTAATTTATTTCTTTAGTTTTTTACTCAAAGGCTTGTGAACATTTAAGAAATGTTTCCTCAATTAAAAATCAATAGAACAGACACTGATGCGCATAGGAAATCATAACACAATGTGCAGGATGCAGTGCTGAGGCACTGGCAAAACAGAATAGCCCTCATTCGTTCGTGTTTATTTTTAAAACAGGCAGTAAATGTTTTGTTGATCTGAATTCCTCTGAGTCTCCTGCAATACTGCTGACCTTCCACTGGTGTAGCAATGCTACTATTCACCAGTCACGTTGCCTTCTGTATGTGCTTCACTGAACGAAGTACCAGTTTCTGGCTAATATTCAAGGAGTTCTGACCTGTTTTGTAACCCACTCTGAGAGCAGTAACTACAAAGTTTGGACTAGATTTGAACTGAGAAGCAGAAGGAAAAAAGAGACTGACAATTCAAAATTTCACAAAGCTGGCTGATCCGGACTGCACTTTCAGAGCTTCTGAAAAATGACAAATAATTGCAATGGTGGGAATCAAAAAGGTGCAGGTGGAACTTATCACAAAATTGGTTTTTTTCCCAAATGAAATAACAGTTAAATTCCACTTAGATCAGAACTGAAAGTTGAAAAGAGTTAGAAATGTTATACAACATCTGTATAAGAATGCACTGACTCCTCTCAAAAGGCAATTTTTCATTTCACACTAGCATATCAAAAAGAAGTTTATTTTTAACTTCCCGGTTTGAAAATAAAATATTTAGCTTTTATTTTCATTGTAAGAAAAATCACTAATTGAAATTTTCTGCAAGGAAAATGCCAATGAAAGCGAAACTAACATTGTCTAATGAGGAAATACTGTGTGTAAAAACTTGGTCAGCTGCAACTGCTTGCCTAAGTCTATTAGAAACATCTCCTGTTTTTTCTGAGTTGCCACAAAACTCCCTAAACTTATAATGCCTGACAATCCTGACAGGTAAAAACCCCTGCAGTTCCAGTATTCAGCCTCTCATGAACTCTACTCCTGCGTGCACTGCAGATCTGAAGTCTGGATGCATGTGTGATATCTACATGTGCTACTCCTAGTTCAAGAAAGGTCTTACAGTATGACATCCAAGTTTCTACGCAAGTGAGTTCTTTCTCTCCTCAAAGCATTACATAGCTGGATTTCTCTGTAAGAAAATATTCATCGTCTCATGCTTCCAGATGAGCAAGAGATTTTCCCTACCTGTCCATTGAAAGCTGAGCCACCAGTGTTACATCAGTATTGTCTGAAGCAGGCTCATACTCGTAATGTAGAAAATACAAATGAGTGCGATGGACAGTGAAGCGTTCTCGACGAAATTCATAGCACAAGTCATCTTCGTCCAGCTCAGACAGCTGTTTCTGGAGCTATAAGGAAAGAGCGTACATAAAGATAAGTTCTTTATAATTATTTTTGGATTTTAGAGAGAATGAGGAGGTTGGTAACTTGCAGCATGAAGCAATGGGGAGCGGAAGCGGAATATACAGGGTAGCAGGGTTTTCCCAAACCTCACTCCCACAAGACACTGGACAAGAGACTAGAAGAAAGCAAGTAAATTGATAGGGCAGACAGATCATTGTATTATGGTCTATACATTGTATGTATTATCTATATTATGTACTTTCAACATTCAGACTAACAATGAAACAGCGAACAATCAGAAGTTTAATAATCTCCAAATATCAGAGTTAATGCTCCAATGTGATGCATAATGTCATTCCGTATTAGCTGCAGTGTTTCAAACTACTTGTAGACATACAGCTCCAGCAGACAAGACTCAGCAGCAGATTAAGCCTGTACGCTGGACTAAGCAGTTCCTGTTCTGCTGCCTCTGTCGGAGAACAGCAACTGCTGCTAGCAGCATGGACAGACAGCTGGAAAAGTAATATCTTTAACTGATCATTATTCCATCTCTTGAGATTTATGTACCTGCACCAGTTCAATTTTGCAATGAAAATATTATTCCAGCTGCAGAGGTGCCAGAATTAAGACCACACGTTTAACGGGATTTATGCTTCCAGATACCTAGTTTGAGAAATCCAAAGGATGTCAGATTGGCAGAGAACAGGTATTTTTTTTTTGGCTCCCTTGGAAACCAAGTCCTGTCAAAGTCAAAATGGGCATCTCAAAGCAGTCCAATCCTGAGTCACTTAGATATGGTACCTTTAAGAGAATAAAAGCTTGGCTCTGGGGAAAGGAGGAAGAGAAAAACTGACCAAATGTCTATGCAGATAACCAATTCCATCCCTGAACAGTATTATTTTAAAGCCAAACATCTGGCTCGATTATTTAAAATGCATTCATTTAAAAGGAAAAATCAGCTATACCTGCTGTAAAATGTACTACAAAAGCTAATGAAGATGAAAATTATTTATAGTCTTATGTCAAAGAGTTCTGTTTGTGTTGCCCTAAAATGTAAGCTATTAATAAAAGTACCACTTTTATATTTTATTTCTTAAAAGGATTCTATAAGAATATGATTGCATATTTAACAATAAATAAGAAAAATGTTCATTTTACAGGAATTTTACAAGTTTTGATAAAAATCACAGTGCACTTCAAAACTGTTCCATGCAACAGATTATTGAATTACAGACATTCATTTAGATTTAAAAATCTCTTCTTTTTGTTCTGTTCAGAATGATGATTTAAAGTTATAGTTTCTCCATCTTCAAGAAAAAAAAAGTGGAAAATATGTTTCTTGTTTTAACACTGTGTTAAGAAGAGCTGTTGTTCTTGGAACTATAAGCATAATGGTTGCCATCAACAATAATGCTTACAGATGAATGTTTTCCTGTGAAGACTGATGGAATAATTCCTGATATTTTCTTGTACATGACTCTATAATCTTCTTTTGAATAATGGAAATACCTCCTTTGATTTCAATGAGTTTTGGATCAGGCTCTCATTCTCCTGTGCTATCGTTCTGCACAGATCTTAAAACATTCTTCAAGAGAGACTGATTTTAGAAAGATGAGAGTCCGAATCTTGACAAATCTTTACTCAGGCAAAACTTTTGTTGAAACCAAGATCTCTTCTGGTGGAATAGAAATCAGGAGTTCTTTTACGTATTCTTGGCGTTTCATACGTTCTGGTTTACAAATCATCATTCAGCTGAGCCTGTACTTTATTTTCCCAATCACATTCAAACAACATTTGAATTAAACCCAATATTTACAACGACTAGAAAGAGTATTGTATCTTTCTGTTTCTTCCTTGAAAAGAGACATTAGTATGCTCTTAACAGAATTATCAAGGAGAAGACTGAAATTTAAATGCTTAAAACAACAGCAAAGCACATTACAGGAGTAGCTTACTATCCTGTTGTACGTACAAATGACCAGGCTAGAAGTTTATAAATGCACAGCAGCCATTAAACAGGCAGTCACTGAACGATTATCAGATTATATTTGGATTGCAAGCTAAGAGGATATGAATACTTAATTATGAGTTAAAGAATAACATTTGGGGCTAAATTATGGCTTTGTGCACTACAGAGCCCTGGGTGGGGGAAGAAGAGGTGACACATCTTCTTAGAGGCCCCAGTATTTTGATGGTGAAACTCACCAAGCCACAAAGTTGGTGATGGGAGTGAAGGAGAGCAGCAAACAGCAGAAGATCCCTTCTGCTACAGGGAAAGGGAAATATTCCTCTTTCTGTTGCATTTCATAGGGTCAGGATTTTGTCTCTGTTCTGTCAGACTTCTTCGGAGCTGCAGCTATGCTGATAGTCCACAAGGTTCTGTCTGTCACTTCCCTTGACTCATGCTCAGTACTGTATGTCACATTGGGACCCAAGAGAAGACATGAGATGTCTGTGTCCATGTCCCTTGGAGAGAGCGTGGCATGCTGTCCCTAGAAGGACTGTGGGCACGGGGTGTTCTGAGTCTCCCCCAGTCTCTGCCCCCAGCACCCTCCACTCGAGTGCAGGCAGGCTGCCTGGGGGAAGCCCAAGCACAGGCTGAGAGCCCTGGCTAATATGTGGGCATTGCTTGGAAGGATAAGACACACAGCTCCATCAGCACTTCGCAGGACTGCTTGTACAATCCTTGCTTGCTCATACCATAAGCCTAAACTGCCAGGCAGCCTTAGGAGCCATACCCTGCAGGCTGGGCAAACACAGCTTAAGGTGTGCTCCTTCAGGTAGGTCAACCAGCACACGACAGGCTGTGATTTGCCTGTAGCGTTGTCACTGCGTATGTGGCAAGCAGTCTGCATTAAGGATGGGACTATCCTGCAATGGTGAGGCAACAGGCACTGGAATGCAATAGCATGTGATTATCCATATGAAAACTCCTCTCCTACTGGAAGCAATGCTGGACACACTAGGCACTCTGGATTTGGTCCAGCAAAGCCCGTACGCTCACGTGCTATTTCACTAAAGTTAATGGTATGATGTGGACAAACTATCAGGACCAACAGCTGGGTGCTGCACAGTTTCATGCAGTTTAAGAGCCCTTTTTTCTCTCACACTTTCTTTGTTCCCTCCATTCATATACACATGCAGACACTCATGCTCCAGTATCACATACACATATAAAGGCTGCTTCCTCTTTACTATGAAGACACATACTATGAGACACATACAATCTATAAATGCCTATTGCACAGTGTCACATGCCATTTTTACACACATATTTAAAATGAAGAATGTTAAAGATACATGCAAGTCAAATAGGGAATTGACTAAGACAGACATATATATCCTTAAATTTATCTCTTTCTGAGTTACCTTATATTATTTTTCAGTCACATGATCACATAAAAATTCTCTAATGATATAATCTCATCTACAGCATGCATATTGCATGGATCCATTATTTACAGACAAAGAACTCACAGCTTCATGTAAGGTTTGCTCCCACATTATGTCTTCTTGAAAAGATGGGTTTATAATGTGAATGCTGACAGATGCCTATGCAAACAGATGCCTGCTTAAACACAGTGCACCATCAAAATATGGACCTTAATATCATCTGGATTTGATAAAAAGATGGCATCCCCATTATGGACCCATCCATTAGACTTATAACAATATGCCTAATATAGCAAAGACTTTTCAGCCTTAGAGTGACAGCATGTATTCTCATAAGCGAGTACCTGGTTAGCTAAGATTCATTGTTTCTGCAAGATTTTCAATGCTACGGCTACTTGTCACTGAGCATGTGGGAAATGTCACCTTCAGGAAACACTCTCACAACTGAAAAATGCATTCTTCTCAGACTGTGTATGGTAGCTGTTCTCTTAGGAAATATTGTACTGGGAAACAACAATGCTTTCATTAGCATCGTGATGTTACTTGTTGCAGCAATAAAATGGTAGCCATGACATGCATAATGCCAAAACAAAGAGACATATACATTAAAAAATATATGCTAAGTTACTTCTCTGAGCAACCAGCTGTGGCAGGTGATCAGACTTCATCTCAGGAGAAGTAGTATTTGAAGGTAGGCTGGCCAGAGAGGCACAGGCAGGCCAGAAGGTATTCAACTCTATCATAAATCATCATGATTTACCAGGTCTACTTGGCTGACTAATACATTTGGATGAGATGAGGTGCTGCATTCTATCCATGTGATAGATGGTAGACCCATGTGATACACAGCACACAACATGTACCTTTCACCAGCGAACTGGTTAGGCTGCTCATAAATCTCCCTTCCTAAGGCTGTTCCTAGTGTAAGCAAATTTGTGATAGGGTTTGTTTGCTTTTTTTTTTTTTTTTTTTTTTAAACTGCTGTGTCACAGAAACAATTTACTTCCAAAACCTACAGGATTTCATGTGAGGTGAGATCAATCCAAAATCCAGGATCAGAAGTATTTTCTTAGGGATTAGCAATAAAAACCACCAACAAACAATGTTTTGTCTCTAGAGGCTATTTAGATCTTGGGGAAGGGGTTAAAAACCCTAATGTAGGCACCACTCTTTCATCAAGTGTTTAAGGTGAGATGAGATGACACTAGGCTTAAGTCAGTCACTCAAATACCATGCTACAACAGGAACTGAGCAGCTTAGATGAAAACTTTTAACTTTCAGATCATCTCTCCTTCTCCCAGGTGTGTGCAGTTAAGATTCACAGCACAAAATCAACTCAGCTTAGCCACTGAGATGAAAACTAACAGCAGCCCAGGATGAAACTATAATCTGGTTATAAACTGCAGCAGTTTCATTTCCTCCTGTGTAGCTGTCCCAGTTTCCACCAGTAGGCAATTTGGATTGCAACGTTTAGCACTTTCAAAGTGTGTGAATTAATGGTTGCCTTTAGCATGGCATAAACAAAGCAGATGATGATGTAGGGAGGAAAAAGCATTCACTAAGACTTGTTTGGGATGACCTACATAAAGTACTTCTGGCTTCTCCAATGATT